CCTTTTCAACTCTTTATGACTTTAGAGAAGCCGAAGTTGTTGGTTTTAATTAGTGTTGTGTGTGGGGGAAACCCACGGTAGGGATGAGTGAACACTGGTAGCAGGGAGTCACCATTTGTAGGAAATGTGTGTGGCCATAAACTGCGCAGGCCACATGGGTTGGTGGATAACTGCTGAGACTGCCCCCTGTGGAGGGTGAGGCTGTGCATGAGGACAAGGATCAGGGCATGGTGGAGTCTGTCTTCACTGGACTTTCCCTGGACCTTGCATGAAAGCTGGATTCTTGAATCCAAGCTCTCACAATTGTGTACCGATCTCTTGCTTCCCTGAATGCTAACCACTATCCCAGATACTTTACATAAGTTTAATCCTTTTTTGCTTCTTTTGAGATCCTTTTCTGCTTTTTTTTTTTTTTTTTTCCCTCACTCTGCAGTTCAGGCACTCACTTTGAGCCTCAGCTTCCCCAGTCAGTGCTGGGGTGCTGGGATTATAAGTGTGCACTACCAAGCCCAGCTTTGAGATCCATTCTTGGTGCATAGTTCAGATTGGCAAAAAGTTGCAGGACTCTGCCTCTCCGCCTTTTAGGGCTGGGATTTCTTTTTTTTTTTTTTTTTTTTGTCTTTTTGAGACAGTCTCACTATACAGTTCAAGCTGGCCTTGAGCTCACTTTGTAGCCAAGGCTGGCCTCAAACTTGGAATGATCGTCCTGCTTCAGCCTCCTGAGTGCTGGAATTAAAAGCATGTGCCACTATGCCCAGCTATGATGCCTATTTTAGCTAGTAACTGGAACAATCAGATGGAGAGATGAAAACAGTGGACCTGGGCTTCCTGTTTAGTACTTGTTCAGTGTACACCCAGTGCCTGGAGAGCAGGTTCCAAAAATCTGACATCTGAGGGTGTGATATCTTGGGACTGAAAGAGGCTTCCCTGTCTCAGTTGAGTAAATGAGACTCCTATCAGACTTTGGTGAGTGTCTCTTTCATACCAGCAAATAGGACTGGAAGGATCCGATGAGTTTCCCTTGCCTTATTTTCCCCAGGCCAGCCCAAGGCCCATTGGTAGCTTGCAGTTTTTAGGAAAATGTTAAAGGCTATACTTGGTGCATAGTTGTGAAAGATTCAGGCCAGGGAGATAGCTCAGCAGCACAGCACCTTCCTGGCAAGCGAAAGGTCCTGAGTTTGATTCCCAGTACCAAAAAAAGATTCAAAAGCTGCCTTTTGCTACCTAAAGGGTAGAAGACGATAAAGCAAGCAGGGCCATGTGGCGCAGTCCTTACTTTTCTATAATTTGTCATAATAAAGAAGCACTGAGGAGGCTGACTTGAGACTGCTGCCAGAGGGACGTACCAGGGACTGTTAAGGGTTTACAGTCTTAGCTTAGTTCCATTTTCTTTTTGAGGGTGTAGAACTATGAGCAAATTATTTAAGCTTCACTCGCCCCATCCAGTATTAGATTGGTTTTTGCACTGAGCTTTATCCTTAGCCCTTTAACTCTTCATATTTTGAGACATGGTCTTGCAGTCTCTTGGGCTGAGCTTAAATTTGTGACCCTCCTGCCTCG